AGTGTGGTAATGGCTTCTGTAGAGTGCCAGAAAGCATGGTAACCAGATTTTCTGGGAGGATTCAGGACACTTTGAGTTAACCGTACTTTTGTTTTTCTTCACTGAGGATTGTGCTTCCTGGGGGCCTGGGGCTCAGCACTGATCTCCACAGCTGCTCCAGCCTTCCCCGCCAGCCTGCCGCCACCATGCTGTCGCTTTAGTGGCCCAATACGGTTGAGGACTGTAGACAGTGTGTAGCCGGTCAAAACCTGGTGAAACTGGGAACTGCATCTCTAGAAATCAGGTGATTTCTGGGCAGTTTGTGATCTTTTTCTCCTCGTTTGTGTCCTCTCCTCCTGTCCTTCGCTCCTGCTCCTCTTCTCAAAAGAGGAGCCCGTGTTCGTGCCAGGCTGATTGCAAGACGGAGCCTGGGGTGGGTGGGGAGTGGGACGCTGTTGTGGAGACACTCAGGCTTCCCCAATCTGCTTTGGACTTACTCAGACAAACTTTTCTCTAGAGACTTGTAAGTTGTGCAGACTATTAGCTAGGTCACAGATAAGGCCAGGAATACCAGAACGTCTCACAGGGGTATCTCTGATGAAGCCCTGGACACATGGATGGACACTTCCCTGTACAACCTTTTGAAGTTCAGAAAAAATAGAACTTAAAAATAGTCCCATCAGCCAGGCGCCAGTGGCTCACGCCTTTCATCCTAACTACTTAGGAGGCTGAGATCTGAGGATCATGGTTCAAAGCCAGCCTGGGCAGGAAAGTCCAGGAGACTCTTATCTCCAATAAACCACTAGAAAACTGGAAGGGACTCTGTGGCTCAAGCAGTAGAGCACTCACCTTGAGCTGAAGAGCTGAAGGACAGTGCCCAGGTCCTGACTTCAAGCCCCATGACCACCACCACCACCACCCCCCCAAAAAAATAGCCCCATCACTTTGGTGAGAAGTGAAATGATAGTAGAGAATATCTTTGAAAAGCAGGCAAGCTTATCATAGGTCTATGAACTTTGGAACAACAGAATTTTATTTTCATTAACCCAAAGGTTCCTAACTTTGTGGTTCACAGCATCCTTAAGGGTCTCATGTTTCCATGCTCTAGGGCCAAAGGAAATGCAGATCAATTTTATTAAATAGGTTAAACCAACTGAGTTAGTACTGCTGTCCCCTTATGTAGCTGATGAAAAAATAAGGCAGGATTGCAAGGATGAGCTTTTTTTGATCCTTCCAAACCAGGGGGACTTGGTAATGGAATGTTTGTCTCTGTCTGCGGGAGCTGGGCATCGCAACTCCTCAACCCTAGAACCACTTAGACACCCCCTGCCGTGTCCCCATTGACGTAGACATAAGCAGTATTTGCCCTTTGCTGCAGCCTCTGCTGGACACAGCTTTGCCAGTGGTGGCATGGGATGCAGTGGCTCTGTGTTGGTGTGGTCTGGGCACCGTGACACTCGTCACACTTCTGCCCTCGCTCCATCTTTTCTGCCTCCTCTGGAATTAGGATTGTGTGGCATAGGAAGTAGATCTAGAAATGGGGCGCCCAATCCAGTTACATACTGGGGCCTCTTGGCTTGGAAACAGGTGCAATTCTCTAACTGTGCCTTGACCTTCAGCTTTTTTTTTTTTTCCTTTCCAGTCGTGGGGTTTGAACTCAGGGCCTGGGTGCTGTCCCTGAGCTTCTTTTGTTCAAGGCTAGCACTCTACCACTTGAGCCACAGCGCCACTTCTGACTTTTCTTTTTATGTGGTACTGAGGAATCAAACCCAGGGTTTTATGTATGCTAGCTGAGCCCTCTACCACTAAAGCCACTTTCCCAGCCCATTCAGCTAACTTTTTGTTTTGTTTTGGTCATGGGACTTGAACTCTGGGCCTGAGCGCTGTCCCTCAGCTCTTCGGCTCAAGGCTAGCGCATTCTACCACTTCAGCTATAGCCTCGACTTCCAGTTTTCTCAGGGTTCATTGGAGATGCGAGTCTCACGGGGACTTTCCTGCCCAGGCTGGCTTTGAACCGTGATCCTCGATCCTCAGATCTCAGCCTCCTGAATAGCTAGGGTGACAGGCATGTGCCACCGGCGCCTGGCTTATTCAGCTAACTCTTACCATTGGGCATGGCGGCTCAGACCTCTGGGCACAGGTTACACGAAAGGGAAAGAGCAACTTTTTTTTTCAAAGTTGAAAACAACGTCTTCTCTGCCGCAGGATTCCCATCTGTCCTGTTAGGCTGGTGTCTCGAGGCCTAGCTCCCTGCCTGTGCCGGTGCTGTGTCCTGTCCTTCTGTTCCCGCTCACTCTCTCCCCTCCTGGCGGATGGGGCTGCCCTTGTCTCTCTAGGTGAGAGCCCGTCCCCCGCTCCTTGTCCATGTTCACAGCAGCCCTGCCCTTCCTTCTTCGTGGTGTTCAGCAAAGTATTGCTTAGTCATTTAGGTAGGAAACTGTCCGCTTCTGGGTACCAGGGCGTGCACATAGCCCTGAGCAGCACATTCGTTGGTTGGTTGGATGGCTGAGCCTGGCGGTCACCATGTAGCCCACATGAGAGTTGCTTTTCCAAGTATCTGAGGTGGAGCCGGAAGCCCCAGGGTGTTTGCCGTAAGGCAGGTGTGGCCTGCGCCAGCCTGGCTGCTGTGGAGCCGGGGCTGGCCCAGAGCATGCCCAGCCCAGCAACTCCAAAAATCCATTGCCTTGGTTTCATCTTCCCTCAGAGATGCTGCCTAGAAAGTTCCAGAATGTCACCACTTAATGGAAAATTGATGGCACATCCTTTTGGTGGGATGATCATGGCTAGGCCCCAGCCCCCTCATGACTTACATTCCTGCTGCTCACCTGATCCCCTTGATGGGCTGGGGGTGGGGGTGGGGGTGGGTGCATGTTTGCCCTTTGGGTCATACGCCTTTCTGGTTTGGGTACCAGGCAGGAGACATTGCTGAGGGGCTAGAGAACAACCCTTCCTCTTAAACAGCCCTGACCGGCGGGCCTGTAGTGCCGTGTGCTCCTTGTCCACATCACTTTTTGACTTCCAAGTTCCATGTATTCCGTGTGCTGCCCAGCAGGGGAGAGCTGAACCTGTACAGTCAGCCAGAAGACCATGGAAGTCAGAATTGCTCTTATAGACCGTTTGCAGGCTGCCGCCGGCTCTTGGGTACCAGCAGCCAGGCCCCTCCTGGAGCGCCAGGCCCGCAGGCCCTGACTCGAGCCACCAGTTGTTTTATGTCACAAGTTGCCCACTGGCACTTTAGACTTTGCCAGAATTGGATTGACAAAAGAATTTGTGGAAACCTTGGTTTAAATGACATTTGGACTGAATATGAAGCGCTTCACTAGCAGTCAGAGTGCCTCAGCATAAAGCTGTTTCTGGATTCACCCAAGTACCTTCCAGAATGAAGGCGCAGAGCCAGCCGGCCTTCCCTGACCTGCCTTGTCTCCTCCTCCCTGTGGTGAAAAAACTTGCCTCTTCCTATGCCCTTGCCAGATGTCTCAGCCAGAAAGGTTTCCTTACCTCTGCCCAACTCCACCCTCATTCCTATAGATGCAGCTGGCCCCCAGTTTATAGACTTTGTGACTTTAGATGGGAGATAAAGCAATTTGAACCATTTTCGCATGGGTAGCAAACTGTCACAAACAGTAGGTGGAATGTATACCCAAAGTTGCAGCCTGTTGGGAGGTAGAGATTGTGGGAGGATCAGGGTTCTAAGCCAGCCCAGACAAAAAGTGAGACACACCTCCTTCCCAGTCTCAACCAACATACCAAACATGGTAGCAGTGAGCACCTGTAATCCCAGCTACACAGGGGACATAGGTAGGTGAATCTTGGACTAAAGCCAAACACTATCTGAAAAATACATCAAAAAAATCACAAATAGGGATATACAAATGCACCAAAACAAAACAGAAGTTCTCAAAGGCCGATCTGTATCTTCTCATTAAAACGCAAGAGCTCTGAGCAGTGTGTTCTGCAGGGCATTTTGCAGTAAAACCACAAATCCCTTAACTCATGAGTGTATGTCTTCCCATTTGTCCCATTGGAAAACCTGGATAGGGCACAGGTGTGTGCTCTGAAGATGTCGGTTGCAAGGTTTCCAGACATCAGCTGGGGTCATTCACCCGGGCTGGGTTGTGGGGGGTGGGGAGAGGCCTCAGACGTGTGCTCAGAAGAGCACTGGGCACCAGTCAAGGTATTGTCCCAGAGGTGCCTCATTCTGGATAATAAAATGTAGGTCAGTTTTCCTTTTCTTCTTGGCAGTATAACGGAGTTGGAGTGTTTGGAACTCAGGACCTCTTTGGTGTTTTGCTTTGCTTTAGTTATTTTCCAGATAAGGCCTTGTGTTTTTGCCTAGACTTAGCACATCCCACCCCTGGCTTGTTGACTGAGCTGGGACTCGGGGCGTCCCCCTCGCCGGCCCCCAGCTGAGCTGGCCGGTGCGGCCAGGTGCTGGCTTGTTGACTGAGCTGGGCTCTCACTCACATTCTGCCCAGGCTTGTGGGCCCTCCTGGTCACCACCACCTCAACCGCCTGGGCTACACGTGTGAACCACACACCCAGCCCGGGCTCCTTTTCTTACCAGTAACAGCCTTTAGAGGAATTATTTCATCAGCACCCCTACGTTACTTTAGTTACCCAGAAAATGATGTTGGTGTGAGCAGAGGGCTGTGTGGGCAGCCCACGCACGCAGGGGGCGGCCTGTCCTTCCTGCTCCGCCCTGCCTGGGAATCGCTGGCTTGGCCGGACCCCACAGACAAGAATTTGCACATCAGTGCCAGATGTGGGCCCCCCCCCGCACCCCCTGGACGCTTACCGTGGGGAGGGGCCGTGCCACTCTGAGACAGGGCTTTCCCGGGGTGCCTGTGTCCCTGCCTTGGCCCTCGGGAGGGGATTTCTGCTGGCTGCTGTGTGGGGAGTCTTGGAGGAAAGCAGACACTGGAGCATTTAGTCAGGTGTGCCAGCTTACCTGCCCACCGCTTCCAAGGCCCCTGGGCCCTTGGAGCTGGCAGCCAGAGTGCTGTGTGGTTTTGCATGTGGCCCGTCCATGGCTGGTCTCTGATGGCACTTTTCTCCTCCTTGCAGACAGCCTGGTGAAGAATGTGATGGGATCACTAGCATGTCTGCGGAGAGCGGCCCTGGGACAAGATTGAGAAATCTGCCAGTGATGGGGGATGGACTAGAAACCTCCCAGATGTCTACGACGCAGGCTCAGGCCCAACCCCAGCCAGCCAATGCAGCCAGCACCAACCCCCCGCCCCCGGAGACCTCCAACCCCAATAAGCCCAAGAGGCTGACCAACCAACTGCAATACCTGCTCCGCGTGGTGCTCAAGACGCTATGGAAACACCAGTTTGCGTGGCCTTTCCAGCAGCCTGTGGACGCCGTCAAGCTGAACCTCCCTGTGAGTAACTCGTAACTCGCTCCTCCCTGCTCCCCCCCGCCCCCGTGTGTTTCCTGGGGGGGCAGATTCTGAGGGACGGTGCGCATGGGTTTGGGTCACAGTGAGAGCTCAGAACACTAGCACCACACAGCGTTTATCGGCAGACCTGAGGTGCCAGCCCGGCACCTCTGGAAGAGAAAGAAGGAGCTACGTGCTTCTGTAGCTGTTGGGGTCTGGGGAGGGAAACGAGGGGAGAGGGCAGCGGGCGCATGGCTGCTGTCCCCACCCGGTGTGTGGCCACCGCCCACTGGCTTCTTTTTGCTTTTTTGTTTCGGGTTCTTTTTTTTTTTTTCTTCCTCCTCCTTCTTTCCCTGCGTCCCTAGCAGACAGCTCTGCCAGCTGGGCTCCCCAGTGTTGAACCTCTGGGAGCCATGGGCATGCTTTCATTCTTCTGCTTAAGTCTCTCACCCCCCCCCCCTTGGGTGCCTAGTCCCTCCCCCAGCGAGTGGAGTGAGCGGCAGTGTTGGTCCAGAGCCGCTTGCGTGGAGGGAGGAGTGGCTCCGTCCACAAGCCCACATTCCTGGAGGAGGGGGACCCGGTCTCCCCTCCTGGCTTGACCTGCGCGTGTGTGCTTACATGCTACCAAACAGGTGCCGCGAGTATGCTCGTGAGAGGCGAGAGCGGCCGGGGGCTTCCAGGTGGCCGGGTGGTGAGCTGGCTCCGGATCCGGAGAAGGGTGCAGGGGAAGATGGGACGCGGGCAGCAGGCTGAGGGGCCCGTGCAGCGCAGAGGAGTGAAGCCAGGGCGCACAGCAAGGACACGGGAGACGTGCGGCAGACAGCAGCCCCTGCTGCGTCACGTCAGCTCCCACCCCGCTGGCCTCGGGGACCTGACGCAGAGGTGGAAGTCACTAAAGGCCAGGACGTGAAGCCACGATGTAAAGAAACATGGAATTGAAGAGCAAGTGTGTGTGTGGAGACAAGGGTAGTGAGCGTGGAGGCCTGGAGGCGCAGGCGGGCGAGCCGGGCAGGCGGGCGGGCGGCTTGGAGTGCGGCATGCCACGCGAGGGTGAGGGCACCCCGGCCAGTGGGACTCAGGCCACGTGCTCAGCACAGCCGGGCTCCGGAGGGTGGCCAGGATTGCTGCGCACCAGCTCCACCAGTAGGTGCCCTCTGACGGCTGTGACCTGAGAGGGGGCTGGACACTGGCGGCACTGACCCCGTGTGTTCAGAGGGGAGCGGGGAAGGTCACAATGGCCCCGCAGCTCTCGCTGTGGGCTGCCCCTGGCGGGCTGGGCCCCTGTGGCTCATCAGTCCCACTGTTTCCTGGGAGCTGCAGAGAGAGAGCCCCACACCCCCGTCCTGCTTCGTGATGCCTTTCAGATCCTCACCTGTCCTTAGCCCACATTTACTGCCCCTGCACGCTGCTTTCGTCCTAAGCTCTCCTCTTTGTCCTGGGTCCCCTTGACCCTGTAGCCAGTGCGCAGGTGCACACACTGAGCACTATTCTCTGAGTCCTGAGGCCATACAATACAATTTAGATTTCCGCGGGGCTTGGTGTTGGGGTTAGGCTCTCTTGAGAAGGTTGAGCACAGTAGAGTGTGCAGCTTGGTGTTGAGGCCCGCTCTTGGCCTCCTGCCCGGCTGTACCATGCAGCCCATACCATGGAGGATGCTGGCTCGTGCTCGCGTGGCCTTCCTTACCCGCTGCCCCTGCCACCTGATGGCCTGCTCTGCCCTCCCTCCAGTAGCCGCTCTGCCCCGCCCTGCTGCTGAGCGTGGATGGGATGGTCCCATGCCTCACGGCAGAAGGCCCCAGCCCAGCGCCCTCTGTAGCCTCTGCCTGGAAGCCCAAGCAGCAGCCGCTCTGCCTCCAGGCTCCTTGTTTCGGGAAATAAGCCTTTGGTTTCAGAGCTTTAAATAAAGGCGAGTGAGAACAGCGGTTTGGTTTTGAGCTCTCCAAGGCATCCATGTTACTGGCTGGAATGAGTTTGGCACTTTGCGGGGAACAAGATTGGAAGGCTTGGGATTGGGCGCGCTGAGGTGTTTTTATTGAGGACTGTGAAGATTGTCCAGGTTGCCTCATTTGGTTGGTCTGGTTGATCCTTAGCGGTGGGGCGTGGCGGGGACCGGGCAAGGGGAGGGGAGCGAGGCGCGGCCCTCACGGCCGTCCAAGGGACAAGACGCAGGGGTGCGGAGAGAGGGGCAGGGGCGCGGGCACTGGTGCTGCGGCAGTTTGCATTTATGAATCGTGAAGTTGCACGAGAGGATCTGAGTAAAAGCCCTCTCCACTCTCCTTCCTGTCCTCCGGCTTGAACGCAGGGCCTTGTGCTGTCTCTTAGCTTTTCCCCTCCAGGCTGGCCCAGCTCTACCACCTGAGCCACGGCTCTGCCTCCAGCTTTTTGGTGATTAATTGGAGATATATCTAGTCTCACATACTTTCCTGTCCAGGCTGGCTTTGAACCACGATCCTCGGATCTTAGCCTCCTGACTAGCTAGGATCACGCCACCTGTGCCTGGCTCAGAGCCCCTTTATTTTTTTTTTTTAAGCCTGTGTGGTTTCTCCTATTGTTTATTTATTTTTATTTTTTGTAAGTCGTGGGGCTTGAACTCTGGGCCTGGGCGCTATCCTTGCACTCTTCAGCTCAAGGTGAGCACTTGAGCCACAGCGCCACTTCTGGTTTTCTGGTGGCTCATTGGAGATCAGAGTCTCACGGACTTTCCTGCCCGGGCTGGCTTTGAGCCGCGATCCTCAGATCTCAGCTCCTGAGTAGCTAGGATGACAGGCGTGAGCCACCAGCGCCCGGCTTTTCCCATTGTTTATTAAAAATGGAAAGTTAAAACCAGAAAAGCAAAGTAATCAATTTTGATGAAGACAGTCTGGTCCAGGTGGGGCAGCTGGCAGCTTTCGTCTCTCCCCTCTGTCTTGCAAGCAGTATTTTGAAATTCTTTTCTGATCCAATCTACTTTATTCTGGGTTTCCCTGAGTCACTCACGCCACAGGAGAGCCTCAGTTTACCCGTGGAGTGAGACCCAGATCTGCGGGCCAGGCGGCCCGGCCCAGCCAGGCTACTGGGTAACTCTGGCCTTTTTTACTCTGCCTCCTTCCTAGGATTACTATAAAATCATTAAAACGCCTATGGATATGGGAACAATAAAGAAGCGCTTAGAAAACAACTACTACTGGAATGCTCAGGAATGTATCCAGGACTTCAACACTATGTTTACAAATTGTTACATCTACAACAAGGTGAGATGCGGGGCGGGATCCTGCTAGCCTGGGGAAGGGAAGGAGAACGGGGCTGCGGAGCGGAGCGGCGGGGAGGAGGGCCGGGACTGCGGTGAGCTGTCCTGGTTAGCTTGAGCACTTGCTGCTGGGTCCTCGAGCTTTAGTTCCTCAGCATGTCTAGAAGAGAGGCGTGAGGTCGGCCGTGGCCGCCTGACGGCCCAGTGAGCAGCGTGACTGTCAGGGAAGAGGCCTTCAGAGGGTGTCCTGTCTGTCCTGCGGAGCGGTGCCCGGACAGAGCCCGGAGTGAAAGCAAGGGCGCAGGGCCCGGCCCGTGTGGGCACAGCCTCCCGGACTGGTCATAGAATCGGGGTCCCCCTCCCCGTCTTCCATGCAGACCTAAGGTCACTTCCCCACCCCGTAGCCACACCTTTGGGCTCGGCTGTGCCATGAAGCCAGATCATTTGTTCACAGTTGAGACCACAGATGTGATTAAAACCAACCCTTTCAAATAGAACGGCTCTGGAGGGAGACTATACAGAACTCAGCTTTTGGCCTCTGCTGGTGTAGTGGGTAAAATGGCCCAGAAGAGATGGGTAGGTGAGTTTCTTGAAGTTTCCTGTGTTTTGTAAAGTCCTAGTGCTCACCACCCAGGCGGCAGGGACCTGTACCGAGCACGCCCCTCGGAGCTGCCTTGGGGTACGCGGGAGAGCACGGTCGGACCCCTGCAAAGGCATTGCTGCACAGAACCCAGTGCCATTTGAGTACTGGTGTGCAAGAGGCCCTAAAGCCGGAAGGGCCCGGTCAGGGTTGGCTGAGCTCAGCGGACGCTTAGGCTCCAGGATGTTCAGGATGGATTTCAGCACAGAGAGGTAGAGCAGTGAGCGAGGGAAGCACAGCAGATAGCTCCTATAGGACCCTGCGTGTGGCGGTTGTGGCCCCTTAGGGTCTAGCCCAGGAAGGACCCTGCGTGTGACGCTCCAAACACTGGAGGGGGGGGGCTGGGTGCCCTGTCCGCAGGAGGCGGTGGGCGCGCTCCCCGCTCGCTCTACCCCACCTGTCTCCCCACACAGCCTGGAGATGACATCGTCTTGATGGCAGAAGCTCTGGAGAAGCTCTTCTTGCAAAAAATCAATGAGCTGCCCACAGAAGAAACGGAGATCATGATAGTCCAGGCAAAAGGAAGAGGACGTGGGAGGAAAGAAGCAGGTAGAGTACCGCGTGGCTGCAGTACTGGACATGGCGGGGAGGTCAGAGGTGACGTTAACGATGGGCTGCTGTGCGCCCACATGAGTGGGGGCCGGCCCCTCGCAGGCTCGTCCCCCTCCTACCCCCCCCCCTTGTTTCCCCGTCCCCAGCATTCAGCTAGAGTCACTGGCCCCCGCGTGGCTCGTGCACTTAGGTCAACAAGTGTATACCTTGTCAGTGCAGTAGGTTTGTACTTTTCCTCTGTCTGTGTGTCTGTGTCTGGTGCTAGAGATTGAGCCAAGGCCTCTGCCCTGAGCTCTACCCCAAGGGCTGCTTTCCATTCCAGAGTAAAGACTTTAATCCAGTATGGTCCAAAAGGAGGTGTACTCTTCACCTAATTTATATAACTGTATAGAACCCTTCTGTATATATATCACCTTCATAATAACAATAAAAAATGTGTTTATTAAAGAAGAATTTAATCCAACCAGAAGTATTTTCAACCAGTGTCCCGGTCCTGTAGCCCTGTTAGCGGCCCCGGTGCCCAGCGTGCTCAGTTGCGCCTCTGTCACTGTGTTGTGGCCCGCTACCCCCGCACCCCCCCCCCCCAACCCCCCCCCCCCCCCAAGCGAAGGCCGGCTGGACAGCGCTGCCATCCAGGACAGGGCGGGCTCCGCCACAGCGCCTCCCGCACTGCCTCTCCCCATGTCTTTAGCTACCCCTCCTGCCCCGAGGGGACAGTGGTATCGGAGAGTCCAGTGTCCAGAGTCACCGAGGAAAACCAGCCTTGCCAGCCCCCTCTTCAAGATCATGCCCATGGGGTGATGACCCTGTGTCTGCCTCGCCCGGGGCCAGGACTAGGGCTGTGGTCTGCACCTGTGACCTCTCCTCAAGGCGTCAAATCCCTGGAGAAGCCCAAGTGGGGTGCCCCGGGGAAGAACAGGGGGACTTGGCAGAACCTCCCCTCATCCCTCGAGGGGAGCCTGTGGGTGAAGACAGCTTTTCCAGGGAACTGGGGTGTGTTTCCTTTCCACACCAGCACGCATGGCCCGCGTGCGCGCTGGCCGCCGGCTTGTTCAGACCCCCGGCCGTGGGAGCCGTCGGGGCAGCAGCTGCCTGCCCTTCCCCATCACCAGGAGGCAGGGCGTCCATCCACAGGGCGCTTGGCTGGGTGGGGGTTTGCTAGCCCCGGACAGGAGGGACAGGAGGGCACACTTGGAAGGCTGCACTCGGGGAGCGTGGCCGCTCCGACGGGCTGGTGTTGCTGCGCCCGGCCTGGCATTCCTGTTCTTTTGTCCTGGGCCTCCCTTCTCGCGAGGGGACATGTGGCCAGGAAGTGCGCAGAGTGGGGCCAGGAAGTGCGCGGTTTGGGGCCGGGAAGTGCAGTATGGGGCGCTGGTGGCCTGGCCAGGCGAGCTACGCCCGTCAGCGCAGCCTCTGAGCTCCTGGTCTTCTTGTGATTGCTAGGGACGTCAAAGCCAGGTGTGTCCACGGTCCCGAACACAACGCAAGCATCAACTCCGCCGCAGACCCAGACCCCTCAGCAGAGCCCCCCTCCCGTGCAGACCGCGCCTCACCCCTTCCCCGCCGTCACCCCAGACCTCATCGTCCAGACTCCCGTCATGACCGTGGTGCCCCCCCAGCCACTGCAGATGCCCCCACCGGTGCCCCCCCAGCCACCGCCCCCACCGACGGCAGCTCCGCAGCCCGTGCAGAGCCACCCACCCATCATCGCCACCCCCCAGCCCGTGAAGGTAAGGGTCCCGGCGCTGCAGGCCGCAGCCAGGGACGGGCTGGCCTTCTGGGTAGTCTGCATGGAGCCCGTCCCGGCTCACTAGCACTGTCCCCCGTGTTGCTGAGGGTTAGGCACCTGCAGGCCCGTGATGCACGCCCGGGAGTTGCTGCCCCTTGCTCGTCTCCAGGACCTCTTGTAGCTGCCATCTAGCCCGAGTCGTGGCTAGGGCAGGTGTCTGGTGTTGAGCAAGTCCCAGACTCAGAGTCGTGGCTTCTCCCAGCCCCAGTGTCTGCCTGTCCTGGCTCCTTCCCCCGAGCGTGGGGACCCTAGGAGGGGCTTGGGGACCCTGAGCGGCCGTGCCTTAGCCCGTTGTATGCTTCCGGCAGACTAAGAAGGGGGTGAAGAGGAAAGCAGACACCACCACCCCCACCACCATCGACCCCATCCACGAGCCGCCCTCACTGGCCCCAGAGCCCAAGACGGCCAAGCTGGGGCCCCGGCGGGAGAGCAGCCGGCCTGTGAAGCCCCCAAAGAAGGACGTGCCTGACTCGCAGCAGCACCTCGCCCCGGAGAAGAGCAGCAAGGTCTCGGAGCAGCTCAAGTGCTGCAGCGGCATTCTCAAGGAGATGTTCGCCAAGAAGCACGCGGCCTACGCCTGGCCCTTCTACAAGCCCGTGGACGTGGAGGCCCTGGGCCTGCACGACTACTGCGATATCATCAAGCACCCCATGGACATGAGCACCATCAAGGTGAGCGGCACCCGCACCTCCTAAAGACGCCCACGCCCCCTGCTGGACGCGGTGGGGCCATGCGCTGACCCGACGTCTGTCCTGGGTGTGTGTGTGCCTCCCGGACGCAGACGCCGCTTGGGCTCCCAGAGAGCTGTGTGGTGGGGCCTCCCGTGGGAGACACCTCGCCCTGTAGATGATGACACGCGTGAGGACATTCGGCCCAAGTGTTCTGAGCCCCTTTGGGTTTGTTAGGACTTCTTCCCATCATTTTTCTCTGTGGGCTGGAATAGGACCAGCAGCGGGGGACAGCACTGAGCCTAGCCCTCCTCTGCCTCCTGGGCTTCCGTGTTCTCTTGCTGTTGGGCCAGTGCTGGCGACCTCCGTGCTAAGATGCGGTGTGAGAACTGGGGCACGGTGCTGCTGCTAGTCACGAGGCCACGCCACGCCCCTCCCCTCTCCCCCAAGGAGAGCCCGAGCAGTGGCAAACTGGAGCCTGTCTTGTTTTTCCAGTCTAAACTAGAGTCCCGTGAGTACCGAGATGCTCAGGAATTTGGTGCCGACGTCCGACTGATGTTCTCCAACTGCTACAAGTACAACCCGCCTGACCACGAGGTGGTGGCCATGGCACGCAAGCTCCAGGTGAGGCTCTGGCGGGGAGGCGGGCCAGACCCTGTGGCGTTGGCCGACTGCCTCGCTTTCCTTCCCATGATGCCGCAGGAGTGAATTTCACCCAGGCAGGCGCACGCATTAAGTCAGGGTTACTTACTAAGATCAAGTGGCTGGTTTTATTCTGGGTTTTCCCACTGGACACTGCCTCCCACCACCCATTCTCCACCCGTGTCCTGTTGCCCTTGTCTGGAGAGTGTGTGCTCTGTGCATGTCCCGATCTCTTCTTCAAAACACAGCTGTCTCAAACCAACAGGGCGGGGGGGGGGGGGGAAGCGGGGACACCTGTGCTAGGCACATATGCATGAGCTGCAGTAACTGCTCGCCTTGTGGCTGCAGGGTGGCCGTCTCCACGGTCGGTTTGACAGGCGCTTCCTCCAAGCTGAGGCCCTGTGGTGCGGCTGGAAGAACATTCCTGAGCAGGGCTTCCTTCTCTCTGGGTAGTAAGGTCAGGGTTGAACATCTTGGGAGAATAAAAGTTAATGTTTTGTGCCGGGCGCTGGTGGCTCATGCCTGTCATCTTAGCTACTCAGGAGGCCGAGATCTGAGGTTTTCGGGTCAAAGCCAGCCCCGGCAGGAAAGTTCGTGAGACTCTTTTTTTTTTTTTTTTGATCGGTCGTGGAACTTGAACTCTGGGCCTGGGTGCTGTCCTTCAGCTCAAGGCGAGTGCTCTACCACTTGAGCTACAGCACCACTTCTGGGTTTTTTTTTTTCTGGTCGTTGATTGGAGATAGGAGTCTCATAGTCTCTCCTGCCCGGGCTGGCTTTGAACCACGACCCAACTGACCCAAAAAAAAAAAAAGTTAATGTTTTGTGCTTTTTAAAATTCTCGGGAAGGAGCCACGTGAGGTTCTAAGAATTCCCAGCCGTTTCACCCCAAGGCAGTGGGCAGGCTGACTTGTCCTAAGAGCTGACTGTGTGAGCCGATGCGCCCGTGCACGCGCGCGCGCATGCACACACACACCTACCTCAGGGCGGCCTGTGCTTCCTGGGCGGGGTGAGGCCTTGGGAAGCCTTTGACCTGTGTCTCTACAGCACAGTGGCATCGGGGTCACACACCTGGTCCGCGCCCCAGCTCTCTGGCCCCCGGCATGCGGTCCAGGTCCAGGCTCGGCAGAGTCCCTTCCTCCTCCCACTGTCACCCAACTCCTGTGGAGGGACAAACACTGCCCTGTGAGAATAGGGGTGCATTTTTACTCACTGGCCCTTGTTATGGGGGCATGACCAAATGGTGGGGGGGCTGTCTTTTAAACGCCCCTGCACCTCCTGCGCACACACGGGAGAGGGAGGGGAAAGGAGGGGTCAGTCAGACTCGGATTCTTCAAGGCTCTGGTGCTGGGAGCTCCGCTTGCCTCCCTCAGTTGGACGTGGTTTTGTTATGGACTGCGTAACTGTATTGTTTTCATAGACAGCCCCTTCGCCATTCGTGTTTGGTGCCTGTCCCATCATTGAAAGTTAGCACTTTAGTTTTACTGCAATTCTTAAACGGGGCCACCAGGTGGCAGTAGTGCCTCACATTGTCTACACACCTGACTCCCTCCCTTTCCCCTCCACCCCATTCTCCTGGGAAGATGGGGTAGGGGTAGCTTTGCCCACATTGGGCATCCATGTCTCTGTTTGTCCAAACCAACACTCCATCAGCATGGAAGAATGCTATTTTGAAAGGAGAGAAAAGGCTGTCTACTGTGTCTGGTCTTGTCTTCCTGAGTGGCGTGGGCTGAAGGCTGGCAGCACAGCGTGGCACGGAGCAGCCTCTGCGCTCAGCTCCGTTCTGAAGAGCAGCTGCGAAGTGTGCTAGTGACGGCAGTCCTTGCGGCCGCCCAAGTTTTACCTGAGGGAGGAGCGGGTGTGCAGTGGACAGTGTCGTGCAGTAGTGTTTTGTGGCGGGGAGGAGAGGCAGGCTGCAGATGCCTTGGGGTCCGGTGTGCACCAGGGGCAGCGCGTTCTGAGCTCGGTCTGTGCAAACGCGCCCTGCTGGGTTCCACTCACGCTCTGCCCAGCATGTGGCTCCCCAGGGCCTCCCCACCTGTGTCCTCCAAAGGGGTGTCAGGGCGGGACGCTGGCACCTGAGCTTGTCTGTCTCGTCATCATCGTCGTGGTTACTAAGCGGGAAGGCCTGCTTCCTCTGGACCCGATGGCCGCCATGGGGGATGAGGCTGAGCAAGGAGAAACTCCTGCTCTCTGCCCCGGGCGCTGCGCTGAGGTCCACCAGCACCTGTGACCGGACCGCACAGGGGTGGGGTGGGTGGGCGTGGCGAGGGGCTGGCCAGAGTTGAACCCACCATGAGCAGGGCTCAGGCCCCCACTCCCTCTGGTGGGCCATGGGGCTCTGTTCTCCTGGCCTCTTGCTGGCCTTCCGGCAGCCCTGCGGGCCACACTGCCCCGTTCCGCCGCTCCCGTGGCAGGCCTGCCTTCCAAGGTGTGGTCACCCTTCCCTCTCGGGCTGCCCGAGGCTTGGGGCCTCTGGGCATGGGGCCCAGCCCATGGGCTGTTCCCAGCAGGCTCTGTGTGTCTCACACGCAGGAAGGCGCCCTTCCTTCCTCTAGCACAGGCGTCGATGGGGTCGACGTGGCTGTCGGGCTCCCGCAGAGCTCCATCCCACAGACGGAGCGCGGCTGCACAGCGGAAGCCCGGGGCCACCCGCCATGGACGCTCCTCCCCTGTCCCCGCCATGGACGCTCCTCGCAACCCCATGGGCCTCCGGCCTGTGCTCCGTGACCGCCAGGCCCCCAGCACGCAGGGGATGGGAAGGGCCTTGCGCCTTGTGTGCGTGGCAGCCAGTCTGGAAGAAGAGCACAGATGCCTCTGTGGTGGGGGAGTGGCCGAGGGTGAGCACAGACCGCGTCCCCAGCACCTCATCCTGGGACGCGGCGCGTGACCCCCCTCCCCGCGCACACCGCCGTCCCGCCCGCAGGCCTGGCGCCTGGCTTCAGGCGCTGCCTCGCTGCGGCCTTGCTGCTGTGAAGCCCTTTCTTCTGCCTGGTCTTGTTCCCTGGCCGCGTCCGGGTACCCTCCTTCCTGACATCTGCCGGCAGGCCAGGTGCATTCTGCCTGGGGGGAGCAGCGCCTCTGCCTGCTGTGGAGACCCCTCTCCCCGCCGCCAGGGCTCCTTGGCTCCAGGGAGGGGACCTGGAGCAGGCTCCAGCCCCCTGCTCCGCTCTCCGAATCATAGTGAAGACTGGGGGAGTCACTGCAGCGGGGTGGATAGCTACACTGACAGTTGTATTTCATGCTTAAAGCGGCCACGTGCAGCTCAGAGGCCGCCTTGCCCTCCGCCACACCCGCCCCAACCCACCACTGCGGTAGTCATGGAGTCCCTGGGCCTCTGCCACCTGGCTGGCTGCTTACGTTGTTCCCCCGGATCCCCGGGTTTTCCAGGCAGAAGGTCTCGGGACACGCCAGCACCCGGCCCTGTGCCTGCAAACCCCGCCATCGCCTCCTGAGTGCTCAGTGCCGCCCGCTGCTGCCCCGCGCCCCGCGCCCCGCTGCCTGCGCCC